AAAAATTATGCTGAAGTACCTGTAGCCAGATGCCAGGGTATTCTGGGGTTTGGAAGCACTGCAAATGGATTTCTAGTTGAGGTTGAGCTTCTGTGAGGAGGGATGAAGTGGGGCTGATAGAAAGTTTCTAGCTAAATACCTGCATCAAGCCAAATTTAAGCCCCCTGTGGTCCCAGCCATCTTGCAGGACAGATCCGCCATGACTTTCCCTGGAGATGATGGCTGCAATGACAGCAGGGTCCACGCAGTGTCTCTGCCCGACTTCTTTGATCAGAGTCTGGTAGGGTTTTATGGCCCTCAGATCCATCTCAGCAAACATTTCAGAACCACGGATCCCTAAATCAATAGAAAAGAAACTGTTTTTCTGGGCATGCTCGTGTGTGCCTGAAGTCAGTCCCTGCTACTCAGGAGGCTAAAACGGGAGGATCGCTTGAACCCAGGAGGAGTTCAAAACCAGCCTGGGCATCATAACGAGAGCCCAACTCAGAAAAAAAAAAAAAAAAAGAAAGAAAGAATTTAAAGTTAAAAAAAGAAAAGAAACTGTTTCTTCTACTTCAGAAGAAAACCATTTTTTAAAATTTGCTAAGTTAGCCACAGCCTCTGATCACTGCTAATGGCTTGGGACAGTCATCCTAAGATATTCTTTTGATCTCTGACTGCAGAAACAGACAGGTCCACAACCCCCAACAGGTGCCACTTCTGCTGTTTTTTCTCCTTCAAATTGCTCATGCCTGTAATCTCAGGACTTTGGGAGGCCAAGGTGGATGGATCACTTGAGGTCAGGAGTTCAAGACCAGCCCGGCCAACATGGTGAAACCCTGTCTCTATTAAAAATACAAAAATGAGCCGGACGTGGTGGCAGGCACCTGTAACCCCAGCTACTCAGGAGGCTGAGGCAGGAGAATTGCTTGAACCTGGAAAGTGGAGGGTGTAGTGAGCCAAGATCATGCCATCACACTCCAGCCTGGGTGACAAAGTAAGACTCTGTCACACACACAAAAAAATGCTGCCACACTGGTGCACTGGGAAGCTCTTGGACTAGGAGTCAGCCAGTGTATGTTTTAGCCTGGCTCTGCCACTAGCTGGTTCTGTGCTATTGGGAAGTACCCCCCTCCTTGCTGAGTCTCTGAGCTCTGATTTGTAAATTGAGGGGTTGGGGTCCGATGTGACCTTGTGGTTGCTGCCAGCTCCGACACCCTAAAACCAGGATAACATGATGAAGAAGACTTTGGAACAGTATTGCTTCAAATGTTCATGTGTAACATGAAGCAAACACAGCAGCACCACCCAAAAATCAAAGCCAAATTCTAATATTCAAGCAGTAGTTTCAACACATGGAAACAAACACAGCTGGGCAAGGTTTGGAAAGAATGAGGGTGGAAAATGAAAAGAAGCGGGTTGCTAGATTGGCCAGGATTGCGTTTTTTGCTCATTTTTCATTTTGGTACTATTGGCATAATGATGATTATACCTTTTCAAAATTAAGTGACTTCCTAAGAAAGAATCTGAAAACGATGAAAGGGGAAAAGCCAGATGTTTGCTCTGCCTTTCACTTACCGCAGTTCATCACACTGTTTGCATCACAAGTGGCCCCAGAGGTCTTCATGGTCATGATGTCCCCGTAGCAGCCGTGGTACAGGCGCGGATGTAGGTGAGGGTTCATTGAGTGGGTGAAGGGGTACGAGCCCCTGGAAGTGCCTAGAGGCGAAAGCATAACGCACATGAATCCTGTGAGAAGATATTGCTTGGGTTGCTGCAATAAACATCACTAAACCAAAGGCGGAAGGCCACAGACAGAACTCCCCAACTCTCTTGTTGCCATTAT